TTTCTAAATGGTGACTTGTAGGAGGAGGTGTATATGGAGTTACCTCCTGGTTTTTATGATGCAGAGATTGGTAAGAAAGTTTGTAAGTTGAAGAAAGCTTCGTATGGTCTAAAACAATCTCCAAGGGCATGGTTGATAGATTCGGACTTGCTTTGGAAAGATTTGGCTATGTTTAAGCCAAATCTGACCACACTCTATTCATTAAGAAGAAAGGATCTGCTTTGACTCTCCTAGCTGTGTATGTTGATGACATTGTTGTGACAGGAAGTGATATTTCCTTGGGATTCAAGTAGCAAGGTCCAAGCATGGCATTTTTGTTTCCTAGAGGAAGTATGTTCTTGATCTCTTGGAATGGACAGGAAAATTGGGAGCTAAGCCTGCTGATACTCCCATTGAGAAAAATCATAAGATAAATGCAGAGGATGGTGAGCCTCTGGAAGATAAAGGTATGTATCAACGACTTGTAGGAAGACTCCTCTACCTATGTCTGACTCGCCTCGACATTTCTTATGTTGTTAGTGTTATTAGCCAATACATGCACTCTCCCAAGACCTCAAACCTCCTTGCTGTTGAGAGGATTTTAGCCTACTTGAAAAGGTGTCCAGGCCAAGGTATACTTTTTAAAAATAATGGTCATATGAAGATTGAAGTATACACTGGTGCAGATTGGGCAGGTTGTATTGATGATAGGAGATCTACTTCAAGGTATTGTGACTTTGTTAGAGGAAATTTAGTTTTTTGGAGGAGCAAGAAACAAAATGTTGTTGCTCGCTCTACTGCTGAAGCTGAATACAGGTTTATGGCTAATGGTGTTGCTGAAATATTATGGCTGAAGTCTCTCCTTACAGAATTGGGAATTGAGTTTGAAAGACCCTTGATGTTGTATTGTGATAAACAGATGGCCATTAACATTGCTCACAACCCAATATAGCATGAAAGAACCAAACACATTGAAGTTGACAGTCATTTCATCCGAAAGAAAGTTTCCTCTCAAGAAGTATGCCTTCCTTATGTTGCCACTAATATGCAGCTTGCTGATGTCTTCACCAATGCAGTCAACAAAATCAAGCTTGAGACAGATTTAAGCAAGTTGGGAATGACCAATATATTTCCCCAACTTGAGGGGGAGTGTAGAGAAAATGGATAACCAGCTTGTGGTCCCCACTTGTTCATATGTTTTCCTTTGATTATAGTGCTGTTAGGATACTGTTATAATACTCTTTTCAGTTGTTTCTAGTGACAGGGGTATTCCTGTCATTGTACCACTTATTATTATAGGCCTATTTTAAATAGCACTTGGGGAGGCAGACCAAGCCTGACCGAACCCCCTTTTCTTCTCTTCTATTCTCTCTTCCTCCTCTCTTCCTCCTCTCTTCTTCCTTTCTCTTATCTTCTCTTCTCTTCATCTCTGTTTTCTTCTTTTTTTTTTTTTTCTATTTACTAAACAGGTCTGAACCTTCTTGGTTTCAGACAACTTTTTGAATGATAGGAAATCCACCAATGGGTATTGTACCTTTGTGGGTAGAAACTTGGTGACATGGAGTAAAAAACAGAGTGTGGTTGTAAGGTCAAGTGTCGAGGCTGAGTATAGGTCTATGGCACATGGGTTGGCTAAAGTACTTTTGTTAAAGAATCCATTCGGGGAGATTGGGTTTTGACAGCTCTTTGTCCTTCTACTATGACAACAAGGCAGCCATAAGCATTGAAAATAATCCCGTCCTTCATGATAGGAAAAAGCATATTGAGGTACACAAGCACTTTATGAGAGAGAAGATTGAGAAGGGTCAAGTCTATACTCTTTACATTAACTCCAAGAAGCAACTTGCTGCTGTTCTCAGAAGGATCAAGTCTATTAGTATGCTGTCAGCTACTTACTATTATTGTGTTGTCAGCATCCTTTTTTATTATTTTTTATCTTGTTACCCTATTATAAATAAAGAAAAGGGTGCCGCCAGCCTATTCTTTTGGCTCCCTTAAACACTTTCTTCTCTTTTCCTTATTCTCCTCTTAATTTCCGGTTGTTTCTTGGGTGAAAATAGTAAGCAAATAAAATAAGACCGAGTAAAATATAATGGATTATTGTTTTATTCACTAAATTTTACTCGTTTTGATTTTATCGTGGTAAAATGAGATTCTACTTCAAATCAAATAGAGCCTTTTTTAAATCATTTTTTATTGTCCACTTGAAAAGGGAAAAATAAGGAAGGAATCCACATAGACCTAAAACTGGTTGGTAAGGCACTGAAGACAGGATCATCCCTACAGTTGTGAGGACCAAGTGTTAAAACTGCAGTGTCTACTTTAGGGTAGGTAAAGAAAACAAATAGAGAGTAGCATCTAGGGGTGCAACTTGGGTGGGCCCAGCCCAAAATTTTACACGGGCTGGGCCCAGGCCCAAGAAGTCAAGATTTTTTATTTTTTGGGCCAGGCCCGGGCTTAGCCCTTAGGTAGCCTGAACCCTGTCCAACTATACACATTCATACATACATATTTGTATATTGTATATATATTTTACTATATGCATACATATGTACATATATACATAAATATATGTATATATTTACATAAATGCATATATATATATATGTATATATGTATATATATGTATGTATGTATGTATACTTTTAGAGTGGATTCATTGACCAACCCGAGCCCGGGCCAGGCCTCAGCTCAACCTGAGCACATCAAATTACAGTGTGGGTTGGGCTTGGATTGGGAAGGTCAAGCTTGACCTCGGGCTCGGGCCTTAAGCCCAAATTTTAGGGTTAGGCCCAGGTTGATCATAAACCCAGCCCAACCTGCCCGACTTTCACCCAAAGTAGCAGCTGGGATGGGGTGAGATGTGGGTCGGGCTAAGGTCTTTTTACATGTTTCTATTTCTCCTGTTTATTTCTTAAGGAGGGGAATTTATGTCATTGTACCTGGAATTATACTTTTAATAAAAGAGGGTGGAAGTTAAAGAGAGCTCATTCAATCTCTCTCTCTCACACACACAGCCATATTCTTCTTTCTCTATGTCTCCCTTCTCTTATTTTTCTTTCAGACTTGAACTAAACCTGTTTCTATCATATTTCCAATTATTTAAGGCTGTTCACAGAAGGAATGAAATTAGAGGATTCTAAAAAGCTTTGGATGGCCTCTATTGCATTTTCTTGCAGGGATTTGTAGTTTTTTTCAATGGACTAGCTCTAGTTTCAAACTTAAGGGATCGAAATGCTGAAATTTTATTTTTAGGTTGTCAAATATGTTCGGTGTAAATTGCAACATATAAATCATATTTTAGACTCGGGGTTTTTTAGTGCATCTTCTTAAATGCAAAATATATTAATCAAATTTTGTCATTATTCAAGAAAAACCACTAATTTCACTAAGAAGTATAATTACATATTTAAGGCTAAAAAAACATAGCAAACAACCTTATGAATCAAATAGAGAATATTAAGAGACTTTAATAGGTATCTCTCTCTCTCTCTCTCTCTCTCTCTCTCTTTTAGTCTTCTATCTATCTTCCCTTTGTTACATATGCCATTATTTTCCATTTTGACGTTTTCTTTTGTCACTACATTTTGATTATATTGAGAATCCTCTTTTCTAGCTTTGTTCCCTCTTTTTCTTTTGAATTGTACTTAGTAAGTGAATTGTATCAAAATAGTTAGCCAATCATTCAATCATTTAATCCCCACTTTTTCTTTTAGGAAAATATTTAAATAACTATAATCATTTAATGAAATATCAGAAAGTTTCAACCTCACCCTCTTAGGCAAGTGGTTTTGAAGGTTCAATAATGAGTAACTGGACAATCCATGAATTGGGAACCAAGAGAGGTGACAACACCTTGTGGGTGTGCCTTATGGAGAGGGATGCAAAAATCTTATTAAAAATTCATGAAGGGTGTTAACTATGACGTGGGTAATGGGTCCAATATGAGATTCTAGAAATATCCTTGCTTGCTATAAGGTTCATCCACTAATGGAGAGCTTTCTGGATTTATTTAAAATAGCTCAGAACAAGGAGGCTTGTATAGAAGAAATCTTTGCATTGCACATTGACTGAGTATAGAACCCCAAATTCAGAAGGCACTTGAATGTTTGGGGATTGGATCTAATGCTGAAACTGCTGCACAAAATCCAACTCATCAAACCATAGATGGGATAAATCTGGCTCATTTTCAGCCATATCTTTCTATAACAGAATGTCTTCAATATATGAGGTTAACTTCCCAAGTTCAATAATACACATTTTTCTTTGTACATATACATACATAAATACATACATACATAATATATATATATAATATTTTCCCATAATTAAATAAAAATTTCAAGTTATCCATTAAAAAAAAGAATCTGTCATCTGCCAGCTTCTCTCAAAGGTTGTCTTCCTAGTATGGAAATCAACTTTGCACTAGTGTTTAACTAAGGATAACCTGATGAAAGAGGGCAATGTTATATAACAGTACGACTTGTCTCTTATATGATGATTGCATGAAAAAGGACCATATGTTTCTCCACTGCAACTTCACTATTGAGATATGGTCAAGGATGTTAGAAATGTTTGTTGTGCAGGCCTGAATGTTTTGATGCTTTTATTTGGTATTGGAAAATGTAAGGGTTTAACAAGAAAGGTGATAATCCAGAGCATGATTCTTCTCGAGGCATTCTTGTCTAAGGGGAAGGTTATATTCATGGTTGGCAGTACACAGACATTCAGGGGCATCTGTTATAATGCCTTTTTTTTATTTTGATACTCTTTTGTAACTACTTAACAGTGCTGATATATACTGTTATTTCAATCCCATTATACAGCATCCTCATGCACAAGGGATCTGATGTACATTCAATTATCAATACAATACCTTACTGTTTCAAGAAAAAAAAAATCTAGTTATCCCCCAATTACGTCATTGGTGGATAAAAATATTTCGAAATGTCTGTGGTAATTGAATGGCAAGCTACTCAGCTCTGGAACAAATTCTTCATTCATATGTCCAAGAGACTAACCTCTACATGGAGAGAAAGCTTGTCCATTTGTTCAGTATACTGTGGCAGAGCTTGAACCATTTTTTGCAAGTCTCTTGTTGACAGCTCACTACCATCTCTATGTAACAGATGCAATCTCAATATCAAATTAAGAGAATAATAATTATATTTAATTAAATGTAATTTGATAAACTCAGAGATTGAAAATAAGTAGCAAGATAATTAGCACGTTTTCCAGATTTGCAATGAATTTGACCAAAGTTAAAAGAAACACCAATGTATTGACAAATAAATCTTACTAAACCAGTAACTTATGGATGATCAAACTAAAGATAAAGTTACACACACTATGATAATAAAACAAGAAAAGAATCCTTTTTCTTAACCATTAGATAGAAAAAAAAAAAACAAAAAGAAATAGGGTGCCTAGACCATCAGGTGGGGAAATCTTTATGATGAAAGGAAGGAAAAGGTAGGAGGCTCCCATGGCCCATTGAAGATATTATCATTTTTACAGGGATTGAGGGCACTATCCTCTACTTGGTTATTCATATACAAATGTTGAAGGTGACTACCAAATACTAATCAGATCAATTAGGTGATCAGAGCCCTTGGCCTTTAAGGTACTTTTAATAGGGGTGCCCTACATCTTTGGCCTCGAGAGTGAACAAGTTATTCAAATCAGCTTAAAGATCGTTTAACTTAAAGAACCTTAGGAGTAAATCAGGATGGACAACCAATAATGCACTAGTCTTTGGGTAACCATTAGGAGACTGCACTTTGTAGTTGATCTTTGTACGACTCCCTGTACTAGTAGGAGCATCTGGTTTTTCAACTTTTTCCTGGGTAGCAAGGTTGTGTGAAACTCTAGAACTTGCATCCTGATTGTTTGGAAATCAGTACATTGGATCCCATTCACTTTTGTTTGACTACAGGGTACTATTTTGAAGATTTTTTATGAATGGAACAAACTAGAGTGGAAACAAAGTAGAACAGTGAATCCGGATTTGGTCTCCGTTGAATACTGTGACCACAATCAAGTTGGATGGAACCAACTATCTAGCTTAGTCACAATCAGTTCAATTACATATTTGTAGTAGAGGAAAATTGGGCTATCTCACAGGCAGTAAGAAGAAACCATAGGAGACTAATTTTACCTATAAAAAATGGATGTAGGAGAATTACATGGTTATTGGGTGGTTGGTGAATTCTATGCAGCCACACATCAGTCAACATTACTTGTGGATGGATTCAGCTGAGATATGGGATAGTGTAGCTGAAACACATTCCTAGAAATTGAACATGGCTAGAGCATGATAGAGTTCAGACCTGTGATGCTCTTAGGTTCGAAATAATAAAGAGAGAGAAATAATGGTGAAAGGGTAGAAGAAAGAGAAGAGAAGAGAAGAGAAGAAGAGAAAAGAAGATCTGGTTCGAACTTGAGAGAGTTCTCTCTAGTCGGTCAGTTTTATTTATAGGTTTCTAAAACAATGCACAATGACTATTGTGCCCCCACTTAAGTGTGGGACACATCACTTAAGTTAGGATATACTTGTAACTACATCAAGCATATTACATAAAGTAAATTGACTACTCTACCCCTCTACATCTAACTCTAACACTCCCCCTCAAGCTGGTAAGTATATGTCATATAGTCTCAGCTTGTTACATATGCAATCCAGTCTTCCCCAACTCAACCCTTTGATAAAAAATGTTTGCCCATTGATTTCCTATGTTCACATATGTTGTGCTTATCACCCCACTAAGCACCTTCTCTCTTACAAAGTGGCAATCAACTTCTATATACTTTGTTCTTTCATGAAACACTGGATTAGAAGAAATACGAATCGCAGCTTGGTTATCACAACACAGCTCCATAGGAGTGTTGATCAAGTACCCCATTTCCTCTAAGAGATGCTTCAACCACGCTAGCTCACATGTTGTGTGTGTCATGGCTCTATATTCAGCTTCTACACTACTTCTTGCTACCACTGTTTGTTTCTTACTCTTCCATGTCACCAAATTGCCCCCAAGAAAAGTGCAATACCTTGTAGTAAACCTTCTGTCAGATATGGAACCGGCCCAATCAGCATCAGTGTATCCCTTTATCTCAAGACTTCCTCCACTTTTATATAACAAACCACAACTTGGAGCTCCTTTCGAGTACCATACAATCCTTAGAACAACATCCCAATGTAGGATTTGAGGGTTGTACATAAACTGACTCACTACACTAATTGCAAATGAAATATCAGGCCGAGTGATGGTTATGTAGTTCAACTTACCTACCAACCTCCTATACCTTCCAGGATCTTCAAACTCCTCACCTACATCGCTACTCAACTTGACATTCGGTTCCATGGGTGTTTCAGCTGGTCTGGCACCTAACAACCATGTCTCCTCTAGAAAATCAAGAACATATTTCCTCTAACACAAATTAATATCATGCTTGGACCTCGCCACTTCTATCCTTAAGAAGTACCTCAATTTGCCAAGGTCCTTTGTCTGGAAGTGATCCTGCAAGAAAGTCTTCAACCTATCAATTTCCAACCTGTCACTGCCAAAGATAACAATATCATCTACATATACCACCAATAAAATCCTCCAAACACTAGACTCATAGCTGAATACGGAATGGTCGACCTGACATTGTTTCATGCCAAATTTCTTCACCACTTCCCTGAATCTACCAAACCATGCACGGGAAGACTATTTAAGACCATAAATAGCCTTCTTAAGTCTACACACCTTACCATCCTCCCCCTGAGCAACAAACCMTGGTGGTTTCTCCATATACACTTCCTTAAGGAGGTCACCATGTAAAAACACATTCTTGATGTCGAGTTGAAACAAAGGCCAGTCATACATAGCAATAAGGGAGATCAAAACACGAATGGAGCTAATCTTGGCAACTGGGAAGAAGGTGTCTGTGTAATCTATACCATACATTTGTGAATAACCTTTGGCAACCAATCGAGCTTTCAACCTCTCAACACTCCCATCAGGTAAGTACTTAACAGTGTACACTCACTTACAACCTACAATATGCTTACTAGGCGGAAGAGTGGTGAGATCCCACGTATGATTACGAACTAAGGCCGAGAGTTCTTCCTCCATTGCTTGGCGCCACCCTAGAGAGGTAAGGGCTTCCTAGACATCCTTAGGAGCAAAAACAGAGGATAACATAGAAACAAACTGGCGATGGGAAGTAGAAAGGTGAGATACAGAAACATAATTTGAAATGGGATGAAGAGTGCAACTGCGTTTACCTTTCTACAAAGCAATAGGGAGATCAAGGTCAGAAACAGGGGTCGGGGCTAGGATGGGAACAACTGCCGGATCTGTTGACGGTGACGAGGCTGGAGGAGGAGCCAGTACATGACGATGCGTACACACTTATCAGATGGGTGGCCATTCAACAAGAAGCTACACCGGAGGCGAAGACTTGATTAGAACTAGAACAAGAGGAATGCAGTCCTCAATGGGAACTAGAAGTGGAGGTAGAGGAAGACAAGAGACATCTCACCCAGAAAAAAAAAAAGGAACCGGCTCAAAGAACGTAACATTGAGACACACAAATGAACGTCGGGAACTGGGGTTATAGCACTTATACCCTTTATGAATCTTGGAATAGCCAAGAAAGATACACTTAGTGGATCGAGCATCCAATCTGTCCATCCCAGGCCTAAGATTATGGGTGAAACACATACACCCAAAAACCCAGGGAGTAAGAGAAAAGGGAGACAAAGTAGGGAACAAAACAGAGAAAGGAAAATGACCTTCAAGGATAGACATTGGAATGCAATTAATAAGGAAACAAGATGTAAGCACAACATCACTCCAAAAGTGTTTGGGAGCATTCATATGGAGCAAAAGGGACCAAGCGATTTCCAAAAGGTGGCAATCCTTACTCTCGGCCACCCCATTTTTCTAGGGGTGCCCATGAAAAACCAAAAAACCAAACCGAACCGGAAAATGCAGTTAATTGAACCGATCAATTCGGTTTCGATTTGGTATTTTTGAAAAACCGAAGAATCGTTTGGTTTTCGGTTAACCTAGAAAAAACCGACAGTTAACCGAACTGACTAGTATATATATTTATATGTATTATTTTTATATATATTTTTAATATATGTCACATACAACTGAGAATAACCTTTAGCAACAAGTCAGGCCTTCAACCGCTCCACACTACCATCTGGCAAGTATTAAACAGTATACACCTATTTACAACCCACAACATGCTTACCTGGAGGAAGAGTAGTGAGCTCCCACGTGTGAGTATGCTGAAGAGCAGAGAGTTCCTCCTCCATTGCTTGACGCCACCCGGGTGAAATAAGAGCCTCCTGGACATCCTTGGGTATAGATATAGAGGACAACAGAGAAACAAATTGGCGATGTGAAGCGGAAAGGTGAGAGACCGAAACAAAATTGGAAATGGGATGTAGGGTACAACTACGTTTGCCTTTTCGTAAAGCAATGGAAAGATCAAGTTCTGAAGGTTCTGGGACAGGAACAACAATAGGATCCAGAGACGAGGTAAAAGTCGGAGGAGGTGCCAGTGTCTGTCGATGAGTATACAGTTGTTGGATCGGTGGTCATTCAATAGGAATCTGCACTGGAGGAGGTGAAGGTTCAACCTCAACAGGAACAACCGGAACAGGATCACTAACTGGAAGAGGAAGAGGAAGCAATGGTGGAGATAACAGTACTTCAGGCCCCGAGAAGAATGGTACGGACTCAAAAAAGGTGACATTAGGACATACATAGGACTTCTAAGTGATGGGATTGTAATACTTATACCCTTTCTGGGTCCGAGAGTAGCAAAGAAAAATACACTTAATAGAGCGTACATCCAACTTATCTAAACCAAGACTCAGATTGTGAATAAAGCACACACAGCCAAAGATGCGGGGTGTTAATGGAAAGGGAGACAAGGTGGGGAACAAAACAAAAAAGGGAGACTCACCATGAAGGACGAAGGAGGGCATTTGAATAATAAGAAAACAAGCAGTAAGTACAGCGTCACTCCAAAATCGTTTAGGAACATTCATATGATGAAGAATAGACCGAGCAATTTCAAGGAGATGACGGTTCTTTCGTTAAGCCATCCCATTT